CAATCTGCTCAAGTATATCACACGGCCTTATGTGATCTTATTCTTGGGTCTTTCGGTAAAGTCACGTAGATAGGTTCCAATAAAATAACAAAAAAATACAAAAAACTACGTTTCGATCGCAACACAAGCAATCGTCATCAGGAGAAAAAAAATAGCGGGAAAGCTACTGAGGCAGGATGTTTTCTGAATGTTTCAAGAATATGAATTCCTGCAGTCACGAAAGCTTTAAGTTAAGACTTATGTGATCTTCTTGTGATTCAGTGACTGCTGCACAAGTTAAACGTTTCATTAATAAGCTGGCTGAGAGGGTTACTGGTCCTGTCAAAAGCCCTGAACCAGCATTCCTGAAATTTTGAATTTGACTCCCTGATTAAGATATTGAATAAAACAAAATGTCTTTGAAGCTACAGTACAGCACTGTGATTGTATAGTTGCAACCGGGTTAGCTAAAATTATAATTTGCAATTGCTCAGGGCAGCAACACTTCCGGAGAGTATCGAAAATATATTTTGTTGGCAGAAAAAAGGGGAATAACCTATTATCATGTATTTTATATGTTCCACAGGCAAGCATGGCAAAAGCTAAAACAAACCTTTCCTCTGGCTTGACAGATGTCACTCAGGAATGACTTACAATTGCACAACAAAGAACTGTCCCTACGAGCTTGAGTGACAGACACACAGCTACAGCTCCTTTTGAAGCCACATATGTCAAAAGGTCAAGGAGCTTTTCAGCAGGCCGTCGTGTACCTGCACTACGTGTAGTTGTGTTGAGGAGGGGGAGGGGGCATTCTTTGGTCTTGTTTAGGGCACCGAAATGAATAAGGCTGGCCCTGGATTTCAGCAGCCAACAATAGGTGCTCAAAAATGAGTCGTCAAATGTTTATAAATTCCGTGGCATCTCCTCCAATGTTCTGTCAATACTTGTGAATGAAGGTAATGTGTGGTGTGCGTTGGCGTATTTCTCGAATGACGTCTTGTGACCTTTAACTGTATACAGGGTTCCAAAGAACACAACAATCTTGTACAAAGCACACATCCTCTGTACATACGCAGACACCATTAGGATGTTCCTGTAGAAGTGCATTGTGGTCCTCTTTTCTTCGGTTTCCATGAACATTTACGTTGATCAAATTTTACCACCCATAACTGCTGCCTATCAGTCGGGTCAAATTTGACAAATTATATCAAATGATCACCTACGACAAGAGGACCGCAGTGCACGTTTTCAGGAAATACTGATGGCTTTTTCAATGCGCAGGGGCTGTGTGGTTTCTACACAGCTTTTGTGTGTTGTTTGAAATTTAGTTGTCTGCAACTATTAGCCGTGGCAGATCACTGTTACAACTCAGTGGGCTCACATGATATTGACTTCTCCAAGACAGAGGTTCTCTGCAAGCCATCTGGCTATCATGAGAGATTCGTTCATGAGGCGATCCACATATACAAACACAGAGACAACTTTAACCGAGAAGATGGATTCTGGCTCAGCAATCATTGGAAGGACGTAATAAACCATTTCGATACACATTAGGGTGTGTAGAATAATACATAGTGTGATATTAAATGTATAAGATATAGGTTGGTTTACAGCAATACAGTATATAATTTAATGTTGGGTTTATCTATGGCAGTATATAGTACGGTATATGCTCGTGTGATGTAAGAGAATAAGGTTTAGATGGAAGCATATTATAGAATTTTTACGAGGTAAAATTGTAATGTATTACTTGCTGTTAGTAACTCAGCTTATTATAGAGTATAGTAAGTATACTGATGGTGCGATGCAGTTTATACTTTAGTTTTTTATGTAGTTTATACTTTAGTTTTCTACGTGTTGTTGAGTAACTGCAGCTACATATCATTAACATTCCTTTCCTTTGTTACTGCTAATCCCTGCACCCCCCTTGGTTGCTGCTGATCCTGCATAATGCATGGGCATAATATGACTTTGACACCCCCCCGCCCAACGCCTACGCATTTTCCATGAATATGCTAAATCCCTCTTCACATGCACATTCTTTTTGTTAAGGCGCTCTTCAACCCCCAATGCAGCTTATATATAAGCTCCTAGTTTGGTAGTGTCTCATTCTTCACCTGAAGACGGCTGCTTGCGTTGTAGCCGAAACGTCGTGAGAATTGTTTTATTATGTTTTATTTTTATTATTTTATTACTTCCCTTCTACGTGACTTTACCGAAAGAAACAAGAAGATGAATCCCTGCAGTCACGAAAGCTTTAAATCGAAATTTAACCGCCTCTACGGGGAGGGTTTCCACATAACTTTGAGATCCTTCAACAAGCTCCGGGATAAGAAGGCTCAGCTAATCGAGTCTCTCACCTTTCTGAAGAGATGCCGCGACTCTAAGGTAATACCAAACGCATTTACACTAACATCTGCTGCTGTAACTTCTTCTAATGCGAAACGAATTCTGTCTAGAACTAGCTTAGCTCTTATCTCAGAGAAAATCAGACTTACGCGCACCGAACTAGATCAGTTAGACAAGACACTCTACAAATCACACTTATCTTTGAGTGTAACAATGTCCACATCGGATTGGGAACATGTGGAAAAAATGACTGCCTCTTCAGCTGCCGCTATGTCGACTAAATGTAAGGACAACTTGATTTCCAAATTCAATCGCCTCTCAAACAAGAAACCGGACCCACACATTGAAAAGCTAGATATTAACAAAGTCGTAATTAATCGCAGTAACAGTCCTATTTCTGAAGGTTTGAAATCCGTTTTAGCTAAAGGACTAAACTTTGCAGTCACACCTAGACACATACCAGTTAATGATATAATTGCTCGAGTAGATGTAGCTCTCAAGGGCTTGAGTCACATCGCTGCAGACGTAGCAAGATCCGAAATCTCTGTAACCCTCAAAAACGCTAAGATGCCAGCTAGCAACATCAGCAAAGAGGAGCGTTTTGAATTAGCTCAATTAAAAAAGAGGGATGACATTGTCATCCTCTCAGCCGACAAAGGCAATGCCACTGTCATCATGGACAAAATAGAATACAACAACAAAATTCAAGAACTACTAAACGATGGCAGCTATACAAAAATAAAAAGAGACCCCACCAACAGCCTCGTCTCCAAAACCAACAACATCATTGCTGCTTCAACCGCATTAATTGATCAGACCAAACAGTTCTCGTTGAAACCTTCTGCAGCCAGACCACCAAGATTGTACGGCTTGCCAAAGATACATAAAGAAGATACACCTCTTCGTCCCATTGTCTCTACTATCAACTCCCCCACTTACAAACTGGCTCGTTTTTTGTCCGAAATCCTACGGCCTTTCACTGGAAAAACCACCTCTGCAGTACTAAACTCTACTGACCTGGTATCGACAATCAAGGGGATTGCCCTGTCCCCAGACGACCTGCTTGTCAGTTTTGATGTGGTTTCCTTGTTCACCAAGGTACCTGTGCCTGACACCATCGCAATCATTGAAGACTTGGTTCATCAAGGACTGAATGCTGGGGTACCCCCCCTGGTGAGACACTGCTTAACCAATACATACTTCACCTGGAATGGAACCTTCTACAAGCAAATTGAGGGCACCCCAATGGGCTCCCCCCTATCTCCGGTTGTAGCCAACATCTTCATGGAGAAATTTGAGACGGACGCCATCCAGACTGCCACTCTACGCCCGACCTTATGGAAGAGGTACGTAGACGACACTTTTGTCATCTGGCCACATGGCCGGCCTGCTCTAGACCAATTTCTCGACCACATCAATTCCATACACCCAGCCATCAGATTCACCATGGAAGTCGAAAATGATGGCAAGCTACCCTTTTTGGATGTCCTAATCAAAAGGAGACCTGATGGTTCAATGAGCCACTCTGTCTACAGGAAAGCCACCCACACGGATGCTTATCTAAAACCGGATTCCCACCACCATCCATCTCAGAAGAATTCCCTCATCAAGACTCTATATCATAGAGCCCAATGCATCTCCGACCATGAACACATTTCCAGTGAACTCAAACACGTACGCCAAGCTCTTAAGGCAAATGGTTACTCCGACTATACAATCCGCAAAGCCATCACTCCAACCATCAAGAAGGATCCTGTTGAGGAGCCTTTCAAGACCATCACCTTACCCTACATTGCTGGGGTCACAAAAAAGATCTCCAAAATCCTGATTAAACACAAGATCCAGGTCCGATTCAACACAGTACATAAAATCCGTGATCTGGTACCGTCTGTAAAAGATGTGGTTCCAGACATACAGTACCCTGGCGTCTACAAACTAAGTTGCCTCTGTGGTAGCAGTTACATTGGGGAAACCAAACGACATGTCTCGGACCGCATCCGTGAACATAAAGCTGACCTGAAACACGGTAGGACTAACACCTCAGCCGTGGCAGATCACTGTTACAACTCAGTGGGCTCACATGATATTGACTTCTCCAAGACAGAGGTTCTCTGCAAGCCATCTGGCTATCATGAGAGATTCGTTCATGAGGCGATCCACATATACAAACACAGAGACAACTTTAACCGAGAAGATGGATTCTGGCTCAGCAATCATTGGAAGGACGTAATAAACCATTTCGATACACATTAGGGTGTGTAGAATAATACATAGTGTGATATTAAATGTATAAGATATAGGTTGGTTTACAGCAATACAGTATATAATTTAATGTTGGGTTTATCTATGGCAGTATATAGTACGGTATATGCTCGTGTGATGTAAGAGAATAAGGTTTAGATGGAAGCATATTATAGAATTTTTACGAGGTAAAATTGTAATGTATTACTTGCTGTTAGTAACTCAGCTTATTATAGAGTATAGTAAGTATACTGATGGTGCGATGCAGTTTATACTTTAGTTTTTTATGTAGTTTATACTTTAGTTTTCTACGTGTTGTTGAGTAACTGCAGCTACATATCATTAACATTCCTTTCCTTTGTTACTGCTAATCCCTGCACCCCCCTTGGTTGCTGCTGATCCTGCATAATGCATGGGCATAATATGACTTTGACACCCCCCCGCCCAACGCCTACGCATTTTCCATGAATATGCTAAATCCCTCTTCACATGCACATTCTTTTTGTTAAGGCGCTCTTCAACCCCCAATGCAGCTTATATATAAGCTCCTAGTTTGGTAGTGTCTCATTCTTCACCTGAAGACGGCTGCTTGCGTTGTAGCCGAAACGTCGTGAGAATTGTTTTATTATGTTTTATTTTTATTATTTTATTACTTCCCTTCTACGTGACTTTACCGAAAGAAACAAGAAGATGAATCCCTGCAGTCACGAAAGCTTTAAATCGAAAAAAAAACTATTATACTGTTGTGATAATGGGGTTATCTTGTAATTTCCAAATTTGATTATTGCATAAAGGGTTGCGGTTGAAGTCAGGAAATGTAGCGATTTAAGCACTGCGCTGTAGGTATCATTGCTGTTTACTGAATACACTCGCGCAGTGTGCGAAGATCAATGTGGACATGTTGATTGATGTTCAAGCATCCTGTGAGGAGGAACAGATTGAGAAGCCTGTCCAAGCGAACGCTGCACAATTCGGGCAACTGCTATAATTCACTGTATATGCTTGCGGTTCCCTGACCCATTCGACTCCCTGCGCCTTGACGTCTACACAGCGAGGCCTAATATATTAGCATTGATGCACGTTATGCTCTTGCCAAAGGACCCGAGGCCAATTTCAACGTTCCGTTGTAAAGTGCAGGAGAACGCCTTTCATGCGCGTTGATATGTGGGGGGGGGGGGCGAATATCGTGGATCCTGTTATCTGTGATGTGACCGATTAGATTTGCTGAATTTTATCCGTGAAAAATACGGATAATGGATGATATTGCCCTGTAGATCTCACCGATCTGTGAATTGCAGATAACAGGAAGCTGTTTCGCAATGCAACATGGGAAAAGGGCGGATTATAGGAAGAATAGAGGCCCATATAATAGGTTTTTGCGGATCATATAGGCTTCACGGATAATGATTAGCAAAAAGGGCAGCGTATTCCATATAGTCTACTGCATGAGGCAGTGGCGACAGTGAAAGGTCGTTTGTGTAATGTTTTAAAACGCACTTACATGATAACACCTGCTTTTCGAAGTTGTTAAATGAAAAAAGACCACATGACAACAAGAGGAGGGTGACGATGATGATGATGATATCAAAAGCTAACACGAGGTAGGGCTTCATTTAAGAAGGTTCTGTCTCGGTCGGTGACCTGGAAAATATTTTTTCCGAACCCAGAACACCAACTAGTCACGTGCCTATTCCAGTCTATCAGCCTCAGATGACACCACTGACTAAACAGGGGTAACAGTCAGAAATAACAGTCAACATATTCTGTGCATACATTTTATGTATACTGTAACTGGGGTTGGAGTGGTTTGCACGCTGTGCTATGAACCCAGCCAGTGACTTGAGTTTGATTCCCTGCACACTGACCATAATGATGTTATTATTAGAGTACAGTCACAAGCTCTATGACCACAAGACATGGGGGAGGCTTTCATCCAGCAGTGGATTGACAAATGAGATGTAAATAGGTATTTTTCCGTAATGTAAAAAAATATGCTTCTTATGAGACGTGAAATTACCCTACATGACATCCAATTTATATTCCACTCAACCTGTTTTTATATTTATCAAATAGTTAATATTTATGTATTTTAACAGACATAACGCGTACCATTATGCTCACGATCAAATCATCGCGAACTCGCCCAATTCCGTCGGATATTGGAAGCGAAGCAACGAGCAGGGAGAATGCTTTAATGGGTGACCAACATGCAAATCAGGTTGGTCAATGTGACCGCAGAGCAGTGATTGCTTCTCGGTGTCGCAAAATCCTTTGTTGGACTTTGCTTCTTTGCTTCCACGGCTATGCCGCCCGCCTTTTGGACCTGCAAATTGACTGTGCAAATAGGACTGTGTAAAACATTTTTTTTTTTACCGAAGACCATCAACAATTATACCATGTGGAGGTCCTCAGCCAACAGTGGCTTGACACGAGGGCTTTACACGGACATGGACTGTTATAATGGACAATAAGAGAATACATGAACAGACTGGTGAGTACCCATGTGAAGAGAAATGGGCTTCGCTATACACTATTGTTGTGACATCTGTAAGAGGTGCTGTGTCTTGACACCGATAGCATAATTGTGGTGCAATGAGAGTGGCTCGCACACGTTTACATTTTCCTACTTGCAAGCTCAATTTGGGCCCGTTTTGCTAAATGCATCAATACTTAAGCTGTGGTGGGTCTACAACTCGTCGCTGTTAACACGGGGTAAATGTTTGAAGATGCTGGGTTTAAACACCGACGACAGGTTTTACAGTTGCTCCATTACAGTTCGGCCCTCCACATGAAAATTCACCTTTGAGCAGGTAACCAAAAAGTGCCCAATAACGCCAGATTTCAGAAGCTAAGCCGGTTTGAACTTGGTTAGTAATTGTAAGGTGAGCCACCAGGCATTGCCAGGTGCTGACAAGGTGTGTGGCTCGGAGGTGTGGCCAGCGACTGGGTAAACAACGGGCACCTGAGCGTCTTCAAACACATTGGAGAGTCTTCAATCTGTAATTGTCTTGATGACGCACTGTAATCCACACAGAACAAGTATACATTACGAGAGATGTGTGCTTATTGAATAGCCACATAATGACAGGACACAATGTATTAGGCTGGGTTCACAGGATTACTGAAACCCCATAACGACACTTAATGCGCCTCAAGCTGCAATTCAATAACATCAGGGGCGTGTGATTCTAATGTACTGCAAAGTTCACTCGGTTGAACTTTGCGGATTGGTACGTGACACGGGCAGCCAAACGCGGTTGGGGAGGCACAAAGGGGACAGTGCCAAGGTATTTGACATTTTACATGTTATGATAGGTTTGTGTCGTCATTTATAGGATTAGCCGCGATTGACACGCTCTAATGAACAGCGTTGAGTGATGAATGAGAGGAGATAGTATTTCTGTGGCTGTAAGACTACATTGTACGAGACCTAATGTTAAGGACACTAAAGGAAAATTATGTAATTCTTGAGATGTTATTGGTGTGAAATTTGGAGTTCGTTGGATGTCTGTTGTGGTGGAGTAGGAGGCATTGGTGGGCTTGGACCATAATACTTGGAAATACTAAAATGTGAGTTAGAGATATTAATACAATAATGATTGATAATTTCACGTTATTGATCAGAAGCCATCATTGTTGTAATGTGTTGTGTCTTTTATATAAAAACAAACAATTATAGTTTTTACTTAGTTTAGGCCTAACCTAGGCCCAAACAATGAACAGGCACCACGTGACACACACAGTGTGACCCTAAAGTGTCGAAGCACCACGTGCAACATCAGGTGCTCGAGGTTTAGTGAACCCGGTGTGAAAAACGTCGTGGAACCCCAACTTGGGGAAGGCAAGAGCAAAAAAAAGGGGCAATGACACTTAGAAAAACTATTCTTGCATTGACAACGGAGAAAGGATGGCGTGAAATCATAACTGATATAATCAACCAATGGCATAAGCACTCGTTTTAGGTTCTCACATAGCGTTTTAATTAAGTTCCAATTAAAAGTGTAGTTTTTCAAGACGTTTAATTTATTGAGCGTAACGCGTCTGATATTTGTGAATTAGGGTTTGTTTATGTTTTCAGTCCAAGCATTGTGCAAACTTTCTTTGCACACGACTACAAAAATGAGCTTTTCCTGTCTTGTAAATGATAAACAAATATATTACACATAAATTGAAAACTACACGAGTCAAATGTAATATGCGGTCAAGATGATGAAGATAACTTGATATAAAGATTAAGCATATAGCTTATAGCAGTATTTAAAACAAAACTCTACACCAACATCACAATTTTGTCAAATATGCAAGACAAGTTTAGAAGAAAAAAGTGTTGCATGTCTTTTCTAAAAAAATGGTGATGATTTGTGTATAACTTGTATCACTGGTTTATGTTATGTAGACACAGTACTATACCAATACATCTGCTAACATGGCTACAAACGACTCATATAGTTGCATCTTAGTATTTACACAACTTCAAATACCACTTATCCACAGCCCTATTATTATCTGCAACTCGAATTATACGCAAGACCTATAGGGTCTGCACTAAAATACCAACAAATTAATTCCCCCTATTCTTCCTAATATCTTCATTCTCACCTGCCACCATCCTCCAATGAAAAGCTTCCTATTTGCACATTGTATGAATAAGTGTAGCGTGGCAATTCATCCTATTATCCACGAATTCTACACACGATTTATTTCCTTTCGCGGATAAATGGGAGTCATTTCACAGATAACATTGCAGATAATGGAATTTTTGTGACGTTCATCACTCACATCACCACAGATAAGTAAGATTCCTGCTGTGCATACATATGTAATTGAGTAATAAGGACAGTCTCCATGTTCACCAAAATTTGGTTTTCCACAAATAGCAGTGCTCTTCTTAGTGAATGATTACACCAAAATGATGACAAATTAATAGCATTACATGATTTTATGTCCCTTTATTAACGAGGCATTGCGGCCACAGTGGAGTTGAAGGGGCTTCAATGTTTGGAAACTTTCTCTCTTTGTGAAAAATGTATCCACTGCATCGTTAAATGTCAATTCCACACTGTGCATCGCAGATTTGGTTGCTGCCGTTTGATCTCTTGTCACTAAAATCAGCAAGCACAACAGTGTTTTGGGAAAACGGGAACGGCGCACGCTTGACTCCATGTATGCCGATGATAATGAGTTGTGCTTATTCAAATCTATGCTTCAATGATGGACACTTGTGGCTGTTGTACTACTAAGCGTCACAGTTTATATGCACATGGACAGTTATACTCAAACAGTTTGCATTTGCCTTTACACACTTTGGGATGATTATTATACAGCTGATTTAAAACTTTTAAAAAATCACACTTCCGGGTGAACATGACGACACTTGTGACCTTTCTTTCACAAACCCACAATTATCTGAACAAACACATAATCACGCTTATCTGCCTCATTTACATCTGGTAGAGTAGTATAGTAGTTCAAACGGCAACATAATTGTTGGAATGGTAAAAGTCATTCGCTGGATTTTCAAGAATGAGTTGCTTAAGACTCTGCATTATGATTATTACTTTAACTTAGTTGAAGTAAATCTCTTTGATTTCAGTTTTGGTGCTTGTGGATTGTAATGTGAGCAAATGTTTACACTGGTTTTAGAACTAAATTTGTTTGTAATTGCTGGCAATGCTTGAAATTTTGGGGTAAGTCAAAAGGTTAAGAAGCCAAGGTCCAAAGCGCTACGCGGTAATTGCAGGCACAATACCAGGATCATCATGAGGCTCATCACTATGCTCTTTAATCCAGATATCACGTAACACTCTCAGGGGTAGAATTCCCTCCACGTTAGAAAGTGTTCTGCACGCACACTATAACTATACACATACTTCCTTAAGCTGGTGTCATTGCCCGTTATGTATTTGCCACGACTGTTCGAAAATTACAATGGGGAAAAAACAACACATCTATTATTATGCAACAAACGTTTGTGAAAATCCAGGTTTTTTTTTTTACATTTTTAGTGAATTCTAGCCTCCTCTCTTTGCTCTCTCTCCGAGGAAACTCAACGAAGCGTTTGATTCCACCACCTGCACTGGTTGTACAGTGCATTGGTTGTACAGTGCATTGGTTGCCATCAAAATCACCTGTACAACCCTACTTCCAACACACAGTGATAATACCCTAAATAGTCCCAAGAAAAAAAAATGTCTTCTTCTCGTAAATTGTTTAATATATTTTACCTTAAAAACCTAACGTTCAATTCAAAATGTATAAAATATTTTCCTTATGCAATGTACACACACTGATGATGCCGTCAGAATGTAAGCACTGCCTGCGATGTATTATCAGCGGAGGCATCGGGAATCGCTGTGCCTTCCGCTCGACTCCCGACGCTTTACATTCGGCACGATGTTTTCCGAAGACCGTAGCGGTCAAACTGCCCGGTGTCTCAAGCTATAGAGCCACCTCCTCATTTGGAGGACATTAACTTTCCCCTCCTCACACAGTTGGTACAATCACGAAGCCTACGCTACGACGAGGAGAAAAAGGAACCAAAGCGAGCGGGTCAGGTTTGATTGCGTTCCATCCTGGTCGTTCGGGGCGTCGCAGGCTCGGCCGTGCTCAGGTTGGCGTGGCTGTGTACAGGCAGTCGTCCTCACTCCTTGTCGCCTCCATTTCCATCGCCGCCCACCACAGGATCCTCCAGGGTTGGCGTCTGGGCCTCCTGCGACGCACCTTCTGCTTTGAAGAAACAAGAGTCGGGGTTACTACGCTGCGCACACATTTTATTCTTGAAAGGACTTGTTGAATCTGCATGAAATTTAGAGCCACGGTATACAACTGTGCTTTGTAAATGTTTTTAATCAGTTGTAAAAAAGAATATCTGACTGAAGCAGTGCCTCGTCACCACGTCATGACGTGAAGAATCAATGCGGAAATCTCACAGAAAGGTGCACCCCATGTTTTGGAGAAAGGATGCTGAAGATATTTTTTACAGGACTTCTCCAGAAAAAGTCTTCAATTGGTTGTTTTGTCTTTGCACAATAGAGGGTGCATTTTCCCACACACACTTTTGGACATGTCTCCTGAAGCGAGACACACCCGTACTCTGAAGGTGACCGGGTGAGTCAGAGGTCAGATCGCAGAGCAGGCTCCACAGATTCTGGGTCCAAATCTGGGTAGCCAACCGTGACTAAACTGAGTTCTTGAGTGTAGGGAGTGGATGGTCTCAGCCTGGTCACCAATGATTGTGCAAAAAGTAGGTATATTACAATTGGTTTAACAACCAATTTGTAAAAACACCAGTTCTACAAGTGAACAATATCAGCGTGACTGTCGCGTGATGAACAGGGTAATGGAACTTACACTTTAATATTAACGAAGAGAGGATAAAGTTAATAACAGCCAAATAAAAGATGGTAAACATGTAGAATTTTGTTTAGAGGGAAATATAATTTAGACTGATTCATATCTCTAGAGAAGCAAAAATATTAAATTTATGTCACAAATTTAAATAATGAATACATTAAGTTTGTAAAGGAGTTATCTCAAAGTGAGGAGAAAGTAAAAGAGCATGTGTTAGTTCAATTATAAAAGCACGTTGGAAGGATATGGGTGACATGAAAAGAAAACATACCAAAGACAGAATGTGCAGAGCTCTGAAATCCAATTAGAAATGAATAAGAAACATCAAGAATATAACGCAAACATGATTGAATGTCTTAACAATGGCAGCATGAGAACAAGGAAAGGGAAGTTGATGATTGATAAGTCATAAATAGTACTGCTTCGACAATGGTATGACAGGGCATGCCAAATACCCATTAGAGGCTTCCATTATGTCCATAATTATGGTAATTTAAAAGTGCATTCCTGTCAGAGAATTGGGGTGGAGGAGCGTTGCATTGGTGAGCACACTGCGCGACGAAACCTGCCAACCTCAGTTCGATTTGCAGCCACGGCTAACTTTACTGGCGAGTGATATATAAACTGGTCCTGGGTCATCTTATTGGTTCTTTCGGTAAAGTCACGTAGAATGGAAATAATAAAATAATAAAAATAAAACATAATAAAATAATTCTCACGACGTTTCGGCCACAACGCCAGCAGCCGTCCTCAGGTGAAGAACAGGTCTGACGAGAAGACAGAGTCTGAATCTGTCTTTCCGACAGACCTGTTCTTCACCTGAGGACGGCTGCTTGCGTTGTGGCCGAAACGTCGTGAGAATTATTTTATTATGTTTTATTTTTATTATTTTATTATTTCCATTCTACGTGACTTTACCGAAAGAACCAAGAAGATGAATCCCTGCAGTCACGAAAGCTTTAAATCGAAATGGTCCTGGGTCCTTCTCCATCGACCCCCGATGACCAGCCAGGTGAAGTATGGTCAAACAATCCGCACGTCCGACACGGTGCGGAGAGGTTTCCATTCAGCCGTTGGTTTGTAAAGGATTGTAAATAATAATAATAACTATTCATAAAAAGTACGGAGGACAATTTAAAAGCAAACGAATATCCACTAAGTAGCCTGCATACATTGCTTACGTAACAGACTTTCCATAAATGTGGTCAAACGAGCAAACATGATTGCAATCAAAGAACAATACTCCACAGGGGTATAATGCCCTTGATTGCAATTAAGTTTAATTACAGTCCATAGAAAACAAACGTACCTATTGGAGTATAATTACATAAATTGGGTAATTGATATTTATATCTGTGAAATGATACAATTAGTCGATGAGAATGTAATGCTGTCATGAATCAAACTACAAGACAACATTACAAGCTACAAATTTGGATGTTATTTCATTACGATGTAATACATGAATCCTGGAATATGCGCAATGCTTCAATTGAATAGCTCAACGAAGTGACTAATCACATGGACATTTATCCCATCCAAATACTCAAAACGCGCGTTTATAAATGTGGAGGGAAAATGTGGAGGGAAAAACCGGAGGACCCGGAGAAAAATCCACGTGACCACAACGAGAACATGTAAACTCCAAATATACAGGTGTTAGGGTCGGGATTAGACCCAGGACCTCCTGCATACCAGGTGAGGGAGTTAATATCTCACCACCGTAGCGCCCGCAATTAGAGATCATAATAATATCTGTCAGTGTAATAGGGGGGAAACCAGAGTTCCCAGAATACTGAGGGCTTTTAGTAAAAACTCAGCGCAAATAGACGAACAACTTATTTGCTTTAGTTACTCTTGCAGATAATTCGCTGCCCTTACATCCATGCTTGTTGAATTTTAAATCATGTGAATTATATAATGCAGTATCATGGCTTAAAAATCACATCTTATTAATTGAATAACTGCTGAATTTTCAGCGCATGTGACAATTCACAACGAACCCTTGCCAATCCTCTTAAATCCACTGTTGCTGCAAACAGCAGGTCCAAGACAAACATTTGATTGCCATAGACCTTCAACTCGTACCGGTCTTGGGAGCTCAAGGGATCCTTAATCCAGTTCTGTCAGAGGCAGATATGAGAAATGGGCTCGAATTCCACACGCCTGCGAAAACCTACTTGGCATTCAGGGTGTCGTACTCATGGGTGTCTAGGTGGGGAGTCAAAAGCAGCTATGTTGCTGGGTGACAGAATGTACAGGTGGCAGACGGGCTAAGTGACTGGCTATGGAGTAAAATGTCTGGCACGTTTGGATGTATTTTCTCTGACTCGCTTGGTGGCTGGGAGGATGGGTTGATGGACAGCAGGATGGCTCAGCGGCTGGGTGGCTGGATGGCAGAAGTTGTGGGTGGCAGAGTGGTTATGCCATTGGTTGGCTGGTTGCCTGTATGATTGGCTGCCTGTGTATATGTGTGGCTTGTTGACTGTATGCCTGCTCTGGCTCTGCGGTTTAGTTGATAGCTGGGTTGCTAGGTGGCAAGGTGTATGGGTAGTTGGGCGTGTACATTACTTGACCAGGTGAGTGGGTATCGGTGTGGCTGTTTCAGTGGGTGTCTTTATGGTTCATTGACTGTGTGGCTGCATGGCTGTGTAAGGCTGCTCGATCGAGTACGACTGGGTGTTGTAGTGGCTATGTGGCCGTGTAGCCGGCTTGGCGCACCGGTCACGGTGAGCTCGGCGAGTTTGAGTGGCAGCTCCCCAGGGGAGGCACCGGATGGGGAGCCCAGGATGTCCGGCAGGGCGTTACGCCGCCCCGACCTGCCCGATGCCGCGAAATCCGACAGAGACGCTGGCTCAACATCCGTCATCTCTGGCCAAATCCGTCATAATCAGCATCTGCAGGGAGAGACATCAGCAGTTGTGGTTGTGCGCTAAGCAGATTAGAGCAAGGGGCAAAACGCAAACACAAGCTGGCCAGTCACACACACCCACCAGCCAAGGACAGTGCCAACTTGGCCTAAATGTTAATCTTCTGGTGTTTTTATTCCGCCATTAAGTGATGTCATGAAGCTGTCACATTCGATTTGTGTTTTCCAACTCGACTGCTAATGCATTAGTCCTGTCCATTTGTCTGTAACGGGGAAGAACTATGCAAATTGTAAAGATAATCCAAAATGAACGGAGCTTTGGTAAAACATTCCATACCGACTTGGGAGTTACCATACAGAAAACCAGTCAAATTAATCATTAGGGTTGTGCAAAACTTGAAGAAACAAATCAGAGTGAAAAGGACTATTTTCCAGAATACAAGCGCATTTTATCCTGACAGATACCTGTCGCCTGCCATACCACTAATTAAATACTTCCAATGACAATGTACTTTGGAGAGCATCACATAATGCATGCACATGCACAACTGTTTTTCAACTTGTTTCAATACCTCTATAATCAGTAATGCCTCAAGACGAGTCCAAAGACTCGAATTCGCATCTATTCTGTGCAGCTAATTTGGTATACGGTGTAACATGCTCATTCGTGTGCAGCAGGAAACTGGAGTGTCCAGAGACAACTGACACACAGGAAGGGGCGATGCTAAAAATAATTCATAGAGACAGGGCAATCTACTTGCTGTACTTCCATCTCCTGAGCACTAACATAGCCCCTTGGGGTAGGTGCCTCACGTACGCGGTGACCTCTGCGTGGGTCGCCGACCCCTAGGCGCTAGATTACAGGTGTCTACTACTGTGGCCAACATTTTGCAGAATCTTTCAAACCCTGTGAATAACATGCATTAGATATAGCACTTAACATTGTGAAGCAAAGGGGAGCAGATATTTAGATACCTGGGGGGTGGGGTGGGAAGTGATGGTACACCGCTTAACCCAATACAAACGACTTGGTGGAAAATTATATCTAAAGTGGTCCTGGGTCAATCTTAATTTTGGAGCTTTCGTGACTGCAGGAATTATTCTTTGGTTCTTTTGGTTAAGTCACGTCTAAATATAAAATAATGAATTAAATAATAGCATATTACGACGTTTCGATTGCAACACAAGCAATCATCATCAGGCATGAAAGAAATAGCAACAAAAATCTAACTAGAAAACTATAGACAGACATACAAGCAGACAGACATCACAAGGACACACAGAGAGAGAACATATCGACACAAAGAGAGGGGTCGTTTCTGTGACGGTCCCTTAAATATAGAGAGGGGGCGGGGGCGGAGAGAGGGAGGGGACAGAGAATAAGTGGTCCTGGGTCTTCCCTTCACCAACCCACATTGACCAGCATGGTGAAGTATGTACAGTGGTACCTCAGTATGCGTCGTTAATTCGTTCCAGAAGGTAGGACGACTTATACCGAAAATGACGTATACCAAACGAATTTTCCCCATAAGAAATAAAGGGAAAGGAAATAATCCATTCCAGAGTATAAGAAATTATATTTTATATGGCGTATTATACATTGATGGGGTTGTATAAAATAATTTAGACACTACTTATTACTAAAATGCATACATAAATTAAAATAAATTTAAATATTTTTTTTTATTTAACATCACTTTACCTTGCTGAGAGGAGTTGAATTAATTCGCAAAAAGTTCACGTTAAAATGACAAAAAACACGTGAAAATTTACAGAGAGTTATAGCAAGGGTTGTGCACTGAACGAGATCTACTGAACAGGCAGACTGAGGAGCGGCACTTTGTTTCAGTCAAGATCAGGGTAGACGCGGGTACGCGGTGACTCATCCCGACCCATACAAGTTCTAGCAGGCTCGTCGTATCCCAAGCAAGACGTCGTATCCCAAGACATTTTTCTCTCTCGTCAAAACACGACGTATACCAAAGCGGTCGTATACCGAGGTTTGACTGTATGTATATATGTTTAACGTCTTTCGCACCGTACGTAACCAACCGTGCTAATCGGAGGTGCGGTGGGAAGACAACAAACTAAACACAAAAATAAGCTCTAAAGAATATAGTTTTCAACCGAGATGATTTAAAAGTGCATAGCTCCAGTGGCTTCCTAATATCGGAAGGAAGAGCGTTCCAGACGCCCGCACCAGCGCATCTGAAAGCGTGAGATGCAGTGACCGTCTTTGTTCGATGGTTCGCCAAAAGCTTCTGCGAGGTTCACCGCAGGTCGCGCGATGGTTTATGCTCCTCGACGACATCGGCAAGGTGTTGCGTGAGCTAGCGTCATTGCTCCATCTCCAAGGTGGACGTCCTCTTGGGCGTTCCCACCTTTGGCTGCTACTTTGTTGTCAATGTCAACTGTCGGTCGTCATATGAAGCCCAATCAATGATCTTAACAGTGAATACGATGTCTCCGCTTTGTGTCCCATATTTAATCAGCCTGCTGGTGTGCATGATCTTTTTTGCAAGGGAGACACGGGTTACCATAGTTACAGAGGAACAATTGCTTCGGGTTTTTTTTATTAATCTGGAGATAAGATCCTTGAAAAGGAAAATTAATATCAAACACTATTATGCCATTTATAGCCGATGAAAAGAAATTTGACCGAGTGGAAATGAATACAGTTGTCCAATCACATAAATGATTGAGAACAAATTTAAAGATGGAAGAGCTACACTAATTAAATCTTGATTTAAAGCTTTTTGCGACTGCAGAAATCCATACTCTTTGGTTCTTTCGGTAAAGTCACGTAGGTAGAAAATAAAATAAATCACGACGTTTCGGGCGCAACACAAGCGTCCGAAACGTCGTGATTTATTTTATTTTATACCTACGTGACTTTTTCCGAAAGAACCAAAAAGTATCTACACTAGTTTGTCTGTGTTTTGTCTCTCTCGCAAATTTAACAATCTTTGGGAGAACGTAATCAACCAGGTAGGGTGTTGAATGTTATGTTAGCCGACTCTCTGTGTTGTATTGCATTATATTTCTAAGTTTACTAGGCTTGTTTTCTCTTTCATTTGTACCTGATGATAATTGCTTGTGTTGCAATCGAAACGTCGTATGCTATTATTTAATGTATTTTTTCTTTCTACGTGACTTTACCGAAAGAACCAAAGAGTAATTGCTGCAGTCACGAAAGCTCCAAATCAAGTTTTAACAATACAGTACACACATCATAAGAGTCAGGCAAGCCTCTTCACACCAAGATTATAAAACATTTTCTGAAAACATGCATCCACTCGTGTATTACTGATGACACAGTCATTATAACAACCGATGAAAGTAACTACAGAAAGTGCTACACGGGTGGCAAAGTGATTAATGCACCAAGTTCAATTCCAAAGCCACCTGAGGTCAATTCCCAGCCATGCCTAGCGACAGCAGCAAGCAGTCATGGCCTACCCGCCTCACGCTCCAGCCCCTGCCATACCAGCAGATTGCGTGTGGGCACTCCCATCTGGCCAACGTGGAAGAGTAGGCCAAAATACCCTCTTGAAGAGCGCCCCTGTAATGGAGGCACTTCCGCAAGCAAAAACATGAACAAAGCAATTGGAGGGCTGAACTTGAACTTTTTGTCCGATAGTGGAAAAGTCCATCTTCTAAGACACAGAAGCGGAATAATCTAATTGGACAACGAATCCATACAACGGTGGAAATGGCTTTTGAAAGAGAGTGAAAGTGACCAAATAGAAGGAATGAGGATTTCACCGTGGCCTGTCATCACGTCACGGAGGGTTTCACTGTGTCCAGAAGCACACGGGTAGATGCAACAAGGAGTGGCAAGCACAATGCTCCCCACGGAGCCTTTCCATCACAGTGGCATCACTCCCTCGCCGAGGTCTCCCAACCGCTCAGAAATGGCTTCAAGTGCCACTGCGAGATTTGACAGTTGATCCGTATGGTGTTCGAGAGAGCACGGCAAGCGTAGGCTCCAAATCAATTTGCCTGTCGTAACGTTATGAAGGAAAACCGTGGCCAGTCATTTGCACACTGGCGGCAGCGTGCGTCCAAAATTACAATCTTTCTCTGGTAAATTGATATTTTCTTTCCATTTTTATTTAACGGGGCGATTGTGTGTGCTCCTTTCCAATTGTGTGCGCACAATATCACTCCAAGTCTTATCACAGCAGAATGTATTTTAACATGCACACTCATTTCCACTATCATAATGACCGCTCCAAAAGTGAAACTGCATTGGTGTTTATTTCTTGTGACAAAGACGGAATGCGTAACGTGAGGTTGGTTGTAGACCATGAATATTTGCAGCTGCTCAGGTTCAGATGTACTGTACATGTACGTGTTCATCCCAATTTGTTAATCCACTACTGGATGAGTGTCTCTCCGCAGGGGGTTATTTGAACATACCTCACCACGTTGGTAAAAGCAGGAAGCAAAGATGATGGAGGATATAGCAAGCCCACTGCTGCCCACCACGCAGCCGCACAGCCTATCACACCTGTTACTGATGATGGTCACCCACGCAAGCACCATCCAGGCTCGACCCCTCTTTGCTTCTGAGATATGATAATATCAAGCGCATGCCGCGTGATTTGGTGACTTTATCATAGGTTCCAATATTAACGTCTAAAATAATTTCAACATTAAATGCGATTGACGATTTATTTTAAGAAAGATATCTCACTCGCACAGAAAAAACATTGCAGCTGTGCCTTATCTATTATCTCTACCATCCGAAACACACATTTAACCACTCATTGGCATTTATGAATTTAATTATTTTAGAGGGCGATATTATGATTGGGTGGAGCGGTAACCTGAGTTTGTTTCCTGGCCACGGCCGACATCAATATCACCACTGATGTTGGCCACGGCCGACAATAGAGGGGAGTGAGCCGGTCCTGTCCCTCTCCTTCACCAACCCGCATTGACCAGCGTGGTGAAGTATGGTCAAACAACCCACATGGCCCTTATCGAGCAGTGATTTTGTATCATTGCTATATTACATATTAT